AGAAAGTCAAACAGAAGATTCAGATGGGATGAGGACGATTTCACCCCAGCAAACGTGAACATTTTGCCTATAGAGACATCATAAGGTTCTAGAATTCACTGTACGCTGTTTGAGGGTTTTTTTTTCAGAATTGAGCACATGTGCAATTAACAATCTCCAATCAGCTATTTTCCTACTATCTAATAAATGAAATTCTAAGAACAAAGTGTAAAAGTATATTTCAATAGCTGCATAAATACTGTTGATAAAATGTCCATGTTGTAGAAATTTGGGGTTTTTCGGTTTTGTTTTGTTTCTTGAGTTAAAACTTGAAATATTCATTTTTCACTTCTTTATGACCCGTTGGACATTAAGATGCCTGTAATTTAAAAGTTGAATGTATGGCAGTCCAGCGGGATTAGTAGCTTTCCAGTGACGTTAAGCCCTCGGTGCATCAAAGAAGCCATCCCACGCACTCTCATTGATTGCATGTCCTTTGTTGGCGCTGCTGCTGAGACTGTACACTGAGAGCACCTTTTGGTAAATGGGAGAGCTATTTAAGGACTCTGGGTTTGCTGGAGTATGTATTCTTAGTAATGTGCTGTCAACAAAACGCATCGTTCAATCTTTGGCCTACCTTTACTTTTGTCTCGCATTTGACAAGTCTCCATAATGATTGGCACCCAATCCATCATGTCTCTGGTCTGTAATCCTGAGGGAGGGACAGTCATCAACTATTTCCTACCAGCTTAGAGGAGATTTCGGGGACAGTAAGAGTTGTTTCTGGTAAATTCTGGCATTTCAGAGAAGCCATTGTTTTTGCTGAGATCTGGTGATTATTATATTATACTATACTATATTATATTATATATAGTATGTGCTGAGTGTACAAGGGCATCCAAGCCCATGGTGTGCATGAGCATGTGGTTATGTTTGGAACAGAACGTGTGAGGAAGTAAAGAGTCCTCAAGCTTTCGGCTTTTCAGAAAAGAGCAACATGTATGAAGTGTGCATATGATGGGAAGTATTTAGCCACTGTGTTCAGCTGTGCTCTCAGGGAAGTGGCAGTCTTGTGGAAATCTGTTGTCTTCAAGGCAACCCCAGTTGACTATGACACACATTGGGGAAAGTATGAGACACCGAAGACTGACTGTATCCCAGAAAGTAACCACCACTCACATATATGTGGCCCTATTGTTTTCTTTTTCTCTGCCTTTCTATACTCCCTGCTTGCCCCAGTTTTCAAAGTCAGCTTCTTTAGGTGTGAAAACCATTTTTCTGATTTGTTTTTCTTTTATAATAGTGTTCTCATGCAGTGATCTTTCTGGAAGCAGATAATCAGACTTTTATTCTATAGTGCCACTTAATAGATTTGAAGGCCAATATTTTGATTAGCTCTCAAGCCCTTAGTGATTTATGCCACCCACCTAAGCCACTGCTATTCGTTGGATAGCATCATTGGATTTCTTTACCACACTTTGCTATACCATCCATTGTTTTTAGTGACCACCTAATAGGGACATTTCATGCTTTACTTTTAATAACTTAATATTTTAAGAGCGTATCTTACAACAGAAGAATCTGACCTACAAAAGCTAATATTTCACCTTTCCTCTGACACCTCTGAAATTTATCCTAAAGAATTTGCAACCATTTGAAAATTAATAAAGGAATAGGATTATTGTACTACTGCTACTAACAACAGTTACCATTATTAAGAATCACTGACTTTGTGGGTACTGACAACTGCAGCAAACAATGTCACTTTCATTATTTATTTATTGCATAAATACACGTAAACCTAAGAACATAGACTGTTGTGATATTTACATGGAAGGTCCAAGCTTCATTTTGCATCACATAGCTTCATTTTGCATCACATAGTAAGTTGCAAGAGAAGTTAGGACATGTCTGTTTTACTTTGTTTTGTTATAGAGCTTTCAGGGTACACATCGCTACACAGTGCAGTTAGGGTTCTGTTAGTAAAGGCATCCAGGGGAAGTGCAAATGGTTGGAATGCTTATCTGCCAGTTCCAAAGTTGGAGGTTCAAGACCACTCAATGATGCCTCAGAAGAAAAGTCTGGGGATCTACTTCTTCCCAAATGAGGCATTATAGACCCCGAGACACAATTCAGGTGCACATGTGGTGGCCGTGAGCTGGAGCTGACTCGATGCAACTGGCACTTGTAGTGACAGAGAAAGAGGCAAAAGTGTGCATCTCTCTGGCAGCTTCTTCTGTACTAACCATTTGCCATTCATAATCTCCCCCATTTCGTCGAATGGCCTCTAATTGGTAAATCTTAGCAGTCTGCAGTCCTTCCACATCTGAGATTTGACAGTAAGTGTCCTCCAAAATTTTGCTCAGATGTATGTAATCCATCTCCTTATGTTCATTTGTACTGCCCCCACCCCTAGTCCAAACTCCACCACCTCCCTTGTGGTCCATTGCCGCAGCCTTATAACCTGTCTCTTTCTTCCTTATCATTTTTCCCACTCACCAGCTAGTACTTTTCATCAACGTTAATATCCCGACTCCTTACTTATTAGCAATATCTATGGAGATACTATAAGGAGAGGGAGCAGGACGCCGAAGAAATGCCAAAGACCTGAAACTTCCGAAAGAAGTCAGAAAGTAGACCAATAGGCCGGACTCAGGAAGGCTAGAAAGTGTGAGGTTGGAGAAGTTGGGTGGTTTTAGTGAAGATTAACGAGTTGTGCTGAGTCAGCAAAAGTAACATAAAGGATGATGTCTGTCATGCCTCAGCTATGACTGATGCATCGCGTTTTGCATATGGAATACAATTTTAAGTAAAATAGATTTTTTTCTTCTAAGACCAGTACTTATTTCCACACAGAGCCTTATGCGACCAAATAAGAACGAGCCCTGGTGGCATCATGGGTTCTGGGTCGCCGTGCTAACTGCAAGGTGGGCAGTTCAACAACACCACTTCCTGTGTGGGAGGAGAGCTGAGGCTTTCTGCTCTAGGAAAGATTCACAGCCTCAGAAACCCCGAGGGACCGTGCTGCTGTGTCTTATGGGCTCACCGTGAGTCAGAATCCCCTCAATCGCAGGAGGTTACGTTTAACAAATAATAATAAACCTAAAATACTTCTTTAGAGTAAAAGTAAATGTAGGAGCTTATTCTTCCTCCCATTGCCTCATCATGTTTGAAGTTATATTAAGCATAGATCTATCTCTGTAAGTTCTCAAATGTATTTAGCTTACTGCCTCCTTTGTAGAAAAAAAAAGAGGACAGCATCCCTGTACTCACACCCTGTCATTCCAACACTCCCTACTCCCTGGTGGTGGGGACAGTACTGCCCTCCGTGAGAAACGCATGTGGACTTAATGATTAGGGAATGCAACTAAGTATTGTCATGGTTTGTAAAAGGGAATTAATAAATATCGTTTAATAATCACTTAAATGATGATTAATAAATAATAAATATTTAATACAGTTGTTCTGATGTTTTGTGACACACATTTAATTGCTTGCATTGTGAACAAGCTATATAAATGGGCTCAAAATTGTTTTCAGAATCTATACTAAGACCTGAGAAAATCACGGTAACCTGGCTGAAGGGGAAGATAATACCTACAAGCGGGAGGAAAGCAAAGAAGAAGTAGGGGCAGAGAAAGCTGTTACGAGGTTTGATAAGTTGTTTCATGTTGTTGAACACAGACAATTATGACTTGAAATGATGAGACTTTTGCATGCAGAATCTAGAAAAAATAGTTATGAAGAAAATAGCGCTTAGGGGAGATCAAGGCAATACCGTCCACACAATTCCCTCGTTAACCCTTTAACTACTGAGGACGAGTGTACGCGTGGCCCAGTGCCTTTCCTGGGGGCCCGTGCACGTGTATAAACGCGCTGACTCAGTTCAGGCAACGTTTGTAGGTGATGTGTCTGCCACTCTCCGTGGCACGTCATGTAAACAGATCCCAAGAGCGAAAAGGTTATAAAAGAGCACTCCAGGTTGTGGTGTTATGAATCATACCTAACGGCAGCGCTAGTTCACATTTTTAGAGAGAAACCATTATGATTGTGCATCACATTTGTCAGCTGTCCAACATTTTGTGTTTTTTATTAGTTGCTTTGTTATAATTTTCAGTCACAACATAAGAGGTAAGTGAAAACTAGTAGGAGCAAAGGGCTGGCAAGTTTTGGGTAAAAAATAATAATTTTAGTTTTATAAATACATTAAATAAAATAAATGCTTAAATAAAAGCAATTATATAGTGTTTTAATTATCCTATCCATATTCCTGAATCCTCACTTCAAAATATGAATTTAACAAAATTTCTAAATGTGATGTGGCCTCTTGAATCTTGCCTGTTGCACCAACTGGCCCGCGTTTAGAGTTTGGCACCCCTGGTCTACATTATAGACTGTTTGGGTGATGATTTTCTTTTTAAAGATTATGTGCACAACTTAGCTTCAGTAAGATCCTGGGTGTTTAATTATTCCATTGTATATTTCCTTTTAATTTTTTTCATTGCTCAATTCCTATTTTATTCTAATAAACTTTTTCCCCAACCTTATCAATTGAGATGATCATGTGTGTGTGTGTGTGTGTGTGTGTGTGTGTGTGTGTGTGTGTGTTTATCCTATTATTTTGGGGTATTTAAGTGATTGATTTTTTTTTTTCTCTGCAAGTCTTAGTGCATCTCCATGCAGCACTTGTTAGAGCCAGGGCTTTAAACCAATTCATTCCTATTCAGCCCCTTTGCTGAGAATTTGCATCTCCACCTCAGATATACTCAATCTGGAGGGACTTTTTAAAAGACCCCCAGATGATTCTTTTGCATGCATTAGCATCGATAAGAATCATGGGGGAATCATCCCAAGAGTCACCTGGGAACTTTGTTAAAACGTAGATTCTGAGTCAGTAAGTCTGGAAATGTAAAGCCTCAGCAGAGGGGTTGAAGAGTAGTGAACCTGTGAGAAGCCCTGTTATGAACATATTCTGAGTAGTTGTCCACTTGAATATGTTGTATCTTTCTGATTTCACTTAGGAACAAAAGGCCATAAAGAAACAACCCAACAGTTTCCATTAAGTGAGGTAAGTCCAATATATTTATTAGCTTCATATGAATGCTTACATTTTACTTAAGTTGTTTTTTCACACTACATTTGTCTACTTTCCCCTCTAATCTATTCATTTTTCAGTCAGTAGAACAAATTCCATGCTCCGTGTGTGTTCAGTATGGTTTCTCTCGACATGTTGTGAGAGAACTTGGTAGTCACTGTGAGGCTCCCTGTAAAAAAGAGGTAGATATGTGGAGCCTTGATAAAAGCCTTGACAAAAGGCTTTGTTAGAGGAAAATACTTTTGAATAGATTCAATATGTTCAGCCCAATGTAGATAGGTTCTTATTGTTTTTTGCAATTTATGCAAACAATATTATTTGTCCTGACACTTTGCTAAAGGTTTAAAGCATGTATAATGTGTGACAGCTCTTTATGTTACATTTATTTTTATTTTGATCGATCCTCTTTGATGACTGGTGAAGCACCCATGATGCAACTTTAATAAGTAATATATTTTGCAAAAATTCGGAAGTCCTTGAACCAAAGACCTATTTTATTTATGTAAACTTTCAAAAAGATACTAAGAATTTAACTTACGTCAATGTTGAGTATATAAACACAAAAATTATTTTATATAAAATAATCTCTTTGGTAAGCTCTCATTGACCCAGAAAGGCTTTGTTAGAGGAAAATACTTTTGAATAGATTCAATATGTTCAGCCCAATGTAGATAGGTTCTTAGTGTTTTTTGTTTTAAGTAATACATTCTGGGAAGATTTCTAGGAATGACTGAAATTTTCATCCTAAGAAACGTTACTGTGCTCTCACTAGTTAGATAAGCTGGTTGGTTGACTTAAGATTCCACAAGGTTCTAGGATTCCTTTCGAAATTCAGAGACGAAGAGGTTGAGAGAAACAGTAGAATATCAGAAATAGAAGGGACTATGAACATCATAGGGCAGTTTGCAAGCCCTGCATAAGAATGGCGTGAAATTTTTCTTTAAAATGCAACCTAACCTCAGACTACTGTTTAGGATCCTTGGGAAATTAGACTGAGGTCTCATTATTTTAAACTGCTCCCTGTCATCATTAAAATGTGAGAGTCATTGTCATAAAGCAGAGTGTCTGCAACTAAAGTGACACAAGAAGGCACAGTACACATTTTGCACAGAGCCTTAATGTTTTATGTTTGGGTTGCTAGATTAAAGTTTAATTAAATTCAGGTCATCATCTATCAAGTGTTATCTCACTTTGAGTAGATTGATATTGTGCGTTTTTTTTTAAAGAAAAATGTATAGGAAGGCATTAGTGACCAGGGAATGACAGTGTAGAACTGCAACAATAGAATAGCACTTTCATACCTACGTCACTGGTAGATACAATCTAGATGTGTATCTAACATGCCTTTTTTACTCGGAGTAATTTAAATAAATTAAATTATATAAATAAATACCTCGGAACAAAAGATGGCATGGCTCTTCTTAGTTGCCACGGAGTTGGCTCCAAATGCTAGCAACCCTGGGGACCAGAGAAGGAACCATGACATTGCAGTCCACTGCTGCAGCCATTGTGCTGACCGGCCTCCTCCATCGCCTCCCTCTTTTTGATGACCATCTCCTTGACCTGCCAGGCTGTGCTTTTCCAGGGAGTGGTCTCTCCTGGTTCTGATGGAATTGATTCCAGGACTCGTTTGTTTATTCTTCTACCAGTCCCTGGTATTTCCATGTTCTTTCTCAACACCATGTGTCAAATGCACCAGTTCATCTGTGGTCTTTCTTATTCATTGCCCAACTTTCACCATGACTGGAGTCAGGCGCACCTTAGTCTTCAAACTGACATATTTTCTCTTCAATACTTTGAAGGGGTCTTAAGCAGCACATTTGCCCAGTATAATATGTCTTTTAATTCCTTGAATGCTGCTTCTATGAGCAGATTATGGATTCAAGCAAAATGAGACCCTTGACAACTTTGATTCCCCCCACCCCAATTTTTCATAATAGTATCTATTGTTCCAGTTGTGCAGATTTTGGTTTTGTTTACATTGAGTTGTAATCTTTACTAATCTAGTTCAGGGGTTCTCCACCCTCCTAATGTCATGGCCCTTTAATACAGTTCCTCATGTTGCATGACCCCTCAACCATAAAATTATTTTCGTTGCTACTTCATAACTGAAATTTTGCTAGTGTTATGAATCTGGAGACCGCTGTGAAAGGGTCATTTGACTCCCAATGGGTCACGACCCACAGGTTGAGAACCACTGGTTTAGTCCTTGGTATTCATCAGCAAGTGCTTCCACCCTTTCTCGATTTCAGCAAGCATGGTGTGTCATCTGCGCATTGCAGGCCATTAATGAGCCTTCACCGATCCTGATGCTACATTATTCTTTATATAATTCGCAGATTGAATAATTATGGTGAAAGGGTACAACCTTAATGCACATCTTTCTTGACTTTAAATCATCTCATAATCCCTTGTTTGTTCACATGATAAAGAGCAACTGATAATTATCAGTATATTAAATTGGTGTATTATTGAACCAGCAGTAAGAAAGTAAGTTCAAAAAGATATAACAAACAAATTCCCTCTATTATTTCTGCTAGTAAAGTTAAAAACCACTGCGTATTATTTATAAAACAAACATAAGACTTTGAAAGGTGTAAAGAAGGCAGACTTACGAGAGACCAAGGAACAATGTGTTTAGTTCTGGAATTTATTTTTCTGCCTCAAATATTACGTAGTGAGTGCTGGAAAAACCAACAACCCAGAAATGCTAACTGGTAGCCAAAGCCCCAAGAAAAGCCAGCAATTCATAAGAGGATGACACAAAGGGACAGTTTCCAATCCTTTGAAGGCATACAAAGAAGCATGAACACATCAGCCAAGTTATTCACAGAGGGGAGGGGCCGCAGAAGGCTGCTTTCTGGAGCTGTTGCCAAGGAACAGGAGGCAAAGTGTCCATTTTATCTCCAGTGCGATGCAGGCCAGCTGCTGCTTCGACAGCTCCCTTGGTTGAACCAGCAGCGTTTCCCATGGGTCTTGAACTGTGGAAGGTGGTGGTCCTGTCCCATTTGCCTATGGACCAAACAGCTTCCCCCCACATCATTAGCGTGATGGAAAACTCGCTCCAAGTGGAATCACAACCACAGAGCCTAGGGGTTACAGTGCATCACAAAATGGAGGCGTGTGGCTAGAAAGGCCACATTAAGTAATTCACTGCGGTGCAAGGCCAGAAATCACTTTACCCTTTACTGTAGCCAGACACTACAGAGAGCTTATGCCCTCCACTTCCTCTACCAGAAATCGGAAGTCAATATAACAAACTTTGAGCATTATCTGTTGGTAATGAGGTGCCTCAACTCTTCATTGGGGTGATCTCAGAGAAGGCTCACTAAGGAGCTGGGATTTTCACCTTCACTGAGTGGTAACTAGTCTTCTTCTACCTCCCATGGTTTCCATGGCGACCTTGTAGGAGGCCTGGGCTTCTACCCCCACCAGCATTAACAAGGTATCCTGAACCATCTGTTGCAATGGTGGCAGATCAGGAGTTTTACCACTTCTTAGAGATCACGAGGTCATGTAGTAAGCAGCACTGAAGCACCTTGTAATTCCCAATAAGTAGCATGGGTGAAAGCCTATGAAGGAGTCTAATTCCCATCATTCCCCAATAATGAGTACGAATCAGCCCTGAATGGGAGACATGGGTTTCTATCCCACCTGGCGGCTGTGAGGAAGGGCAGTACTCTAGGATAGCAGTTCTCAACCTGTGGGTTGCAACCCCTTTGGGGGTTGAACTACCCTTTCACAGGGGTTTCCCAAATCACAACAGGAGCCAAAGTACCATTTTGAAGTAGCAACGAAAATATTTTTTTGGTTGGGGGGGGTCTCCACAACATGAGGAACTGTATTCAAGGGTCGCGGCATTAGGAAGGTTGAGAACCACTGCTCTAGGAGGTGTGCTACAGCAAATAGCCTCATATATTCAACAAGTCTAGGCTTCAATTACAAATGATCATAACCCCAAGAATCAGAGAAATGGGCACTTTAAGAAGAAAGGACACTCAACAGATGCCAACCCCGTGGTGGCACAGATGTTAGAATGACCTGATAAGAAGTTTCCAACAACCACCATAGAAATACTTTAAAGCACCATTATGAACATTCTTGAAGACGTAGGAAGCCTTAGCCAAGATGAAAATGAAGAACAGCGTGGATCTCTTGTTGTTAGATGCCATCAAGTCGGTTCCGTAGTAAGGTGACCAGATTTAAAGTGGGACACCATTGACCGGGGTGCAGGGTGGGGGGGCGGTTCTTGATGAAAAATTTGGTCTATATGGACCAAATAGACCATTCCCTAGCTTGTTGTACATTCTTTCCAAAAATTGGGACTTTTGAAAAACGCCCAAAATCGGGACTGTCCCGCCAAAAACGGGACGCCTGGTCACCTTACCTAGGTGCAACAGAATGACACGCTGCCTGGTCAGGCACCATGCTGACAATTATTGCTATGCCTGAGCACATTGTTGTCACCCTGTGCCAATTCGGATTGTTGAGGGCCTTCTTGTTTTCCGCTACCCTTCCACTTTACCAAGCCTGACGTCCTTCACCAAGAGCTGGTCTCTCCTGAAAACAGGTAAGGCAAAGTCTTGCCATCCTTGCCTCTAAGGAGCACTCTGGCCTTACTTCTTCCAAGACAGATCAGTTCATCGTTTTCACAATCCATTGTACTTTTAATGTTCTTCACCAGCAGCACAATTCAAGTGCCTCCATTCTTCTGTCTTTATTCAGTGACCAACTTTCGCAGGCACAAGATCTAACGGAAAATGCCATGTGACATATTTAAGGTTTATTGTGCCAACCTGGCCGATAAACACATGGATAAATACAAGTGGGATTAATTGAAGGGCAGAAGGATAAATGGCTCGGTGAGCCTCACCTTTCAGTTCTCAGATCTCTTGCTCTCTGATGGTCAGACCAGGGTGTAGCTGCCTTAGCTAGTTCCTTGCCTCAGCTGGCAAGGCTCATTTCCTGCAAGA